CTTGAATAACATATTATTAAAAAAATTCTCAAAATTTCAAAGTAAACGCGTTTTCCATTTTTATATTTTCGAAAACAGTTTTTCAAAATGGCAAAAAGAACGTATTTTTGGAAATTTCAAAACAAACACTAAAAACACAAAACGAATTCAAAACTCAAAACACAAAACTGAAATACGAAGAGAACGGCCCCTTAGAGATTCCGTGTTTTCCATTTTGTAATTTAGGGATTTTAAAATTTTGATGAAATTGATAGGGATTTCTAATTAGGGCTTTTAAGGATTTAGGGATTTTGATTAAACTGATAGGGATTTCTAATTTGTGACTGTGAACTGTGAATTTGTGTAACTGTGAACTTGCTAATTGTGTCTGTGTAACTGTATTGCCTGATTTAGGGATTTATAATTAGGGATTTTAACGTAATTGATAGGGATTTCTAAATTGTGTGAGTGTGAATTGTGATTGAGAACCTTACCTAAGACCATTTACTAAGCAGACAATTGTGAACTTTCTAATTAAAAAGCTTAGGTTTAAGCTTAGGTTTATTTTAATTTTCCGTATATTATAATTTATCTTTGCTAAATAGCCGGGGGCTTAATTGGAACGAGTGAATGCTCTTATTCTGATTGAATTTTTAGTGTTTTTGGTGTTTTTGTAAAAGTTTGTAAATTTTAGGTTAAAGTCTTGACCTTTCTCTGATTCAAATGGAGATTCTATAAAATGAATTTAAAAACTTTTAGATTACTTTCCTTTCCCTGTTTTGTGTATTTCTTTAGATTAAAACGATGCGTCCTGGGTAATGATCGTTAACTCAAGTTGTAGTTAAAGTGAACCTTGCAGAAAGATTTCTTTTCTATTTAGTTTATAGAAAGCTGGAATTAGTGTCTATGGAGTTACCAAAATTTAGGATAGGCCATGGCCCATGCCACCCCTCCTGAATTACGTGCCTCCAAAGAAAACATTGTGTTTTAGCCTTGGAATAGTTATTTAGTTCCGGTAACTCTTGAAGCTTCTTTTGCACATGCTTTTACCAGAATTCGAGAGAGAAATTGGCAATTGATCCTTCTTCCTAGATGCTTTCCGAAAGGAAGATCATGACATTGTGAGCATTTCTGAATCCTAAGAATATTCATATATGTGAAACGATTCTAGCTCTTCAAATAACATTTACGTAGAGATAAGCTTTTTCATGTAAACGCCCTGTCACATGCCTACTTAAACCTAAGTTTTATAAAATATCTCTTACTTTAATTTTTTTTCGTCACTTTTTAAAAGTATGATTGTGCGCCTCAACATAAAAAGTCTGCGTCCGCCCATGGTTGCGAGCAGTCTTCTTCTTCTCCAATTCTTTTTTATACTTTTCATTTTTCTCTCTCTTCTCTTTTCCTTTCTTCTTCTTTGGATTTATTTGTAATTTTGGGGGCAAAATTAAGAGCACGAGGATAATATATTCAAGAATTTGGAGAAATATTTAGAGAGAAAATTATACATTTTAGACTAAAGAGTAAATACTCTAAGTTTGTATAGGGGATAGAAATATACGCATAACACTAAGTGATACATTGAGCTATTTTCACAAGATTTAATGCGATTATTTGGTTTTAATAGACATAAAGATATAGTATGTTAAACCAAATAATTAGTGTTAATTTCGCTCGAGAGAGGTAATTAACTAAAATTGAAAAATCGAGTCTAACATCGTAAATGAATAATTTGTTAATTGACTTATCGAGAAATTAATAAGGTGACGATTAAGCGAAACCATGAATCACATCCACGTTCTCATCCAAAATTTTCAAGTGTTTACATTTTCTTATTTTCTAGATTTTTATTTAATTTTTCATATTTTCCAAAATCAAATTTTATTGTGTGTTTTTTCTTATTATTAAAATTAAATTGATTAAGATTGTGTAATTAAAAGTAAACATTTCTCGAGAGATCGACAATCTGGACTCAAAAGGTCCATTTTATTACTTGAACATGACTCGTGCACTAGCGGTATATAATTTTAGCGAACAAACATCATATCCAATTTGGTTTTCAAAAGAGTTTCAATCAAATAAGGTATGTTTCATTCTCGCGCTGATTTTTTTTGTCTCTGCATAGCAGTCAGTATGTTAGCCATAAATTTCTCTCCCAATATCCGATTGCGGCGATTCAAACTTAATTAGAAACCTGGCTCAAAGGGCTACAACTTTTCTAGAAATAGAATTTTTCCAGTTTGGATGTTTACAGTGCCAAAAATGGATATCAATATTCAGCTAAAAATCTAGAATATAACTTGTGCGATTAGAAATTGATTGTGATAATATTTTGATCATATTTCATTCTTTTTTAAATTCTAATTCCATCTAATTGTCTCTTATCAATCTTCAAATTATCATCTTGTGGTCCGAATAAACTATTGAATTTGCAATTTGGTCCTCAAACTTTGGACTTTGTCATTTTATCTTGATTGTCTTTTGTTTATTCCAATTTCTCGTTAAACCATTGAGTTTAACCTATATAACATAAAATACAATAATTTAGAATATATTTTATCGAAAGAATTGCCAAATATCGATATTTTAGGCCTCGAATAAGTGTGTAAAATGCACTTATCAGTGAGCACGGGAGGCCGTAGCGATAAGGAAAAAATTTTCAACGAATCCAGCATGGGCGACCGCCAATACTTGCCGGGAGCTGGATCTGCTGGTGCTCCAAGCCGGACTAAATGAGGATTATACTAGGTAGTGATAAAAATATTATATAGCTTACCCTAAATTTCTTATGACCAAGGCGTCGTTTGTTTGCATGTACACGTTACATGTATATTGTCGAAAATTGCATGTTATGAAACATAACCAACTTTGAATGCTACGCGAGGACTAATACACTATTCAATTAAGGATAAAGCCACTCAAACAGAAAATAATGACAGGATTTGGAAACAGAATGATGTGGCAGATTGTGATTGGCCTTTTTTTTTTTTTTTAAGTTTTCTACCTTCCAATGAATTCCCTCCAAGTGTATCTGTCACCATTTTCCTGTCATTTTTGTCTGTTTGAGTAGCATGGTCCTTCAATTAAATACCCTACTGGCATTTCGGTAATTCCATACTTGCCAAAAGCTTATAAATAAGTACAGTTCATCCAAACATACGTGCTTAGGGGCGAAGTCAAAAATATATGTTAGGATGGATTGAAATTTAAAATTTTTTTCAATGAACTCATGCCATAACAGATGTTCTATGCCAAATGAGATTTAGTTTAAAAGGTTAAACTCACGACGCTCATGACAAAATGGGTCAGAATATATTTTTTGATACTCATGACAAAGTTCTAATATATATATTTTTATTGATACAATTAAATATAAAGCATATTTCTTATTTTGATAATAACATCAATTTCATGATCAAAATAAATAATTTTTTTAACTCACAAGTATAAGTAAATGATATATGAAAAAAAAAATTTAATATAATTATTGTTCAAGAGCTTTTAATACATTCTCCTTGTTTTTATGCCTAATCTGGGCATCCTAAACCACGAGTAAAACTGAGTGATCATTTAAGAGCGTTTACTGGTTATCAACTTACATCGC